ATTTACATGACATAGTGTAGATTTTATGATGATGGTGGCAGATCTGCACATTTTGAATATGACCACTTGATAATCACATAACAGGTTTTCACAGGAATTATTTTGTTTTGGAATAAGCAGCAGGAGCACTACAGCACCTTTGGAAGACAGTTTTGATTAACTCAGGCAGCAACTAAGATGCCAATGGTTCAGTGATGTTGCCCGAAGATCTAAGCATGCTAATAATACCACACACAGGAAAAAACAATATGCACGTGTTTTGCTTATTACTTACAATGTCTGTAAAGACTCCAGGCCTCATCAAATTTATCATCTTTGCTACTTGGTAAACATCCACTGAGTTCTCATTTTCCAGTTGATGCATCAGTGTTGTTAATGCACAGAAAGTGCCTGCTGTCACCCCTCCATGCCTTTGCAAAGTGAAAAAAAAACAACAACAAACCAAACAAAACACACAAAAAAAGTCTCTAGAAACTGGATCAAGTTTTTACAGCTGGAGAAAATACAAAATCCCGGGTAAACTGATAAGATGAATTTCTGTCATGTGATCTTTACACTTTCTGAAATAGGCCTGTCCCAGCAGTGCCTTAACACAACCTTCACAGCACCTGGCTACAACTTCTGCAGAGTCTTTCAAAGCCAGTCTTAGTGTTATTTCTCTACGATCCTCTACTAACCAAATCCTGAAGGCCTCAGGTCCTTCAGTATTTCAACATTTCAGTATTTTTGGCCATTATTAAACAGATGGAGAAGGGTAAGGTGACTAATCTAAAGAAGTCTTACTTCTTTCAATAACAGACAATGAAGCCTTGATTGATTTCCTCTCCGGTGCCCTACTTGACAATCCGGAGTATCAAAATGATAGACATGAAAAGTGAACATTGAAATGTGATAAACCAAAAATGTTTCTCTTTTTGATGCAGCTGAAACAGAAGCAGCAGCAGTATTGTTAGGTGCAGACTTTGTGCCTTGTTTCAGCGGCTTTCACTCTAAATGAGATGAAAGGATAGTTCTACAGAAAAACTTCAAAACAAACTGAAAGCTGCAGTTCTTACTCGTCATGTACAATCATGGGTCCATCACGGTTGGAAGTTTCTTCTTTGATGATGCTGATCAATTCAAAAGTTTTACTAATAGGACTATCAGGATTTGGCCATTTTGGACACTGAAAATGCCTCACTTCAAGTACATAGTCATCCTAAAAGAGTGAAAAAAAAGTTAATAAATTGGGTAAAAGATTGATTGTCTTTCCAGTCTGGCACCAGCCTCCAGATACAGAATCCCACCGCTGTGGAGGTTGGACTATCCTATTCCCAAGGTCACTACATTACCTATAGAGGTTACTCCCTCCCTGGGTGTTTCAAGGGAATGAAATTTTATCACTCACTTACCATAAAAAATGTAACAAAATGTAGGCATTACCTTTAACAAATCAAGTCCTGAGTTACATGTTTATGACAGTGTTACCTGTGTAGCTTCTAAAATAAAGTCTTGGATTATGAGCTTCTCCTCGTTAGACAGACACTTGTGTTCTTCAGCAATCATAGTAACTTTGAAACTCTCACAGTTTATAGGCTCGTCTTTGTTTGGCCAGTATACAAATTCGTCTTCAGCCTCCAGGAAAAAAATAAAAAGAAACCATAAAGATAAGTAACATTGGGGTCTTAAAATAAAACTTAATCCAACATAATATATAACGTGTCATGTATGTAACCAATGCAGCCAGCTAGATTTAAATTGACAAATCAAAATTTGAGTGGGATTACAAAGATCATAAGTGAAGGTTTTCAGACACCTCTGTAGTGGTCCTGAGCAGAAGACCCCTGTACTCTGCGGAGATAGTGACCCATGTAACATGAACATGTGCTGTGCTGCACTGTGCCACAGTCCAGCCTGGCCCTCAGGCTAACTTAAAAATCCATCTGTTTTATAGGAAGGGTAACATTCATAAAACATTTGATGAGAAGAAAAAACCCAAACATTGTCTTGGTTGTACACGTTTTTCCAATCATGTAAGACTCTTCAGAGCATTTGCCTGGCTTTCCTCCAAACTCATTACCAAAGTTGATGCCCTCTCACAACTCAAGATTTCTCTAAGTATCACCCTAAAAGCTCTCAGATATTCCTGCATTTCTAGTAACTGAAAAACATATTCATTTGTTATTAAATTATACATACAGGATGAACACGTGAACTTCTTTTGCTGTTTGGAGTCAGATAAATTCCTGATAAACATTTGTTTGTAACTTTAGGAGATGAGCAAGAGAAACAACCTCCTATTTCTCCCCTTAGCTAATAACGGCTGAAGAAGCCGTGCTACAACTAAAGTAAAGCTCCTGGAGTGAAAACTAACCTTGAATAATGGTTACTTCTGCTGTTTGGCTCTTTTTATAAATTATACAGGAATGATTCAATACTGGTTCTCATGCCAGTTGCAGTCTGCCCAGACAAGGATCTCTAGTGATTTCCACTAGATGATTTGAGCATTTTACACTGAGTACAGTTTCATTAATTTTAAATTTGTTCTTTTTTTTTTTTTTCAAAATCAAAGATATTATCTCACGTCCTGCATATTTCAAAATGGTAATACTAATAAAATTCATACATAAACCCATAACAATCAGCCATAAAACGTACCATATTCTGGCTATCAGGAAGCATGACTATTAGCTGGGCATTATGGTCCCATATCATTCTCCAGAAATCCTTGATAGTGTGCAGTAAAGGATGCTGGGTAATAATGAATTCATTACTTTGATAATAACCCTGCAAAGCAAAATCAACAGACTCAGAATTGATGTCCAACTATTGACATTTAATGGAAGTTTCTACTGGACAGAGCCAAAAGCCTAGAAAATAAATTGCAGACTTGTGCCTCCTTTGGCTTCCTGCAAATATTAGAAGAATATAAAACTTCCATTGCAGTATTTTCCAGATGAGAAGAATAATGAAATAATTTTTAAAACTTCAAAAAATTTGATCAAAAAAAAAGACAAAACAAGTCAGTGGAGACTTGAACAGCCAACTCAGAATGAAAATACATTAACTTATATACACATGCTAATTGTTCTACATTAGCCAGAATTCCAGAGGAGCTGGCAACCTGAAACAAATAAAAGAATACTTGAAAGATCTGCAAAAATCCCAAGTGGTCTCTTAATTTGTACAGATGTCCCAGAACAACTTCTTACCACAAAAGAGAGTTCCTTTGCACTAATGCACTTGATGAAGGATCATGCATACACAGTACTGCAGACAGCTTTCCCATCTCTTTCCTGAATGTCCAGGAAGCATTTACTCCTCCCTCTCAGCTAATGAAGAGGAAAGGAATTGAAGAAAACCCAGGGAACAAAAATATCATGGAAAGCTGATGAGCTATGGTGCCTTGGGCTATGCCAGTTGCAAGAAGAGCAGGTAGGAAGGCAAACTTACAGCACAGGCATTAGAAACTAACTTGGTAGTTAACACTTTTAGTTCATCTCAAAAGATCTTTCCATAGGTGGCATTTAGCTACACTAGTTCTTAAAACCATGATGGGATTTCTGGTTCTACAGATTGTCAGAATGCAATGCATTTAACCAAACTTAAAAACAGTAATAATACTTCCCAGGGGAAGTAACTCTTTCAGGCAGAGTGAACAATGGCAGAAAGAAGCTTTCAAAATCAGGATTGTGCCACCCTAACGTGGACACATGGCAGCTCTGAAAACAGCTACACAATGGGACACTGTTTTTCACCAATACCAAAACCAAAGTTAACTGACTTACCATAATATAGGAAGCATTGATGTAGTCTGTCCCTTCACCAGACAGTGACGAGATACCCACTCTAGATCTTTCCACTGTAAAAAAAAGTCATGATCTAGTACATATCATAGAGTCATAGAATCATAGAATCATAGAATGGTTTGGGTTGGAAGGGACCTCAAAGATCATCTAGTTCCAATCCCCCCCTGCTGCGGGCAGGGACACCCTCCACTAGACCAGGTTGCCCAAAGCCCCATCCAACCTGGCCTTGAACACTTCCAGGGAGGGGCCCTCCACAACCTCTCTGGGCAACCTGTTCCAGTGCCTCACCACTCCAACAGTACAGAATTTCTCTCTAACATCTAATCTAAATCGACCCTCCTTCAGCTTAAACCCATTACCCCTTGTCCTGTCACTACACTCCCTGATAAACAGTCCCTCTCCATCTTTCCTGTAGGCCCCTTCAGAAACTGATAAGCCGCAATTAGATCTCCCCGGAGCCGCCTTTTCTCCAGGCTGAGCAATCCCAACTCTCTCAGCCTGTCCTCATAGGAGAGGTGCTCCAACCCTCTGATCAGCTTCGTGGCCCTCCTCTGGACTCTCTCCAACAGCTCCATGTCTCTCATGCACTGGGGCCCCCAGAGCTGGACGCAGTACTCCAGGTGGGGTCTCACAAGAGCGGAGTAGAGGGGCAGGATCACCTCCCTTGACCTGCTGGTCACACCTCTTTTGATGCAGCCCAGGACACGGTTGGCTTTCTGGGCTGCAAGAGCACACTGCCGGCTCATAGTTGCTTATAGCAACTATCTCACATATCTCATTGTAATGATAACACTAAGCTACATCAATCAGGGTGAAGTGTTATCCAGCCATCTATTTTGCTTTCCTATGTGTAGCTCTTAAATAATTTCTTCACTAAATGTACTTTACAGAGCATTGCTCCACACCAGTGCAGAGGTCTTCAGTTCTTGCTGAGGAAAGACTAAAGGTTTGACACACAGTTCATAAACATTTTCCCACCCAGAGAAGCCTGATTTGAATAAGCTTACCAGGAATGATGGATGAAGTTCGGTTCTTTTCTCTGTTACACTGTTTGAGTGCAGTTGAATAATCACACTGCTGCGTGTTAGACTGGCTTAGTAACTGAAACAATGAAGTTAAAAAAAAATCAGGTCACTGTGCAAAAGCCATTCCTTTATTAGCTGCATTAAACAGAAGGGTGCACTGTGTTGCAGGTTAGCTGTCTCTCAACTTTATGTAACTAATTATCTGGCTAAATTACTTAGTAGGTCATCAGAATCTTTTATCAGTTTTATCAGTTCAAATGATACTTGAGCCCTAGGTCCATAAGCATGTCTTTGAAGGAAATGACACTTCATGTTGGCCCATATCCAGCCCCCCCCAGTGCTGGTTGCCACCCCAGTATCACTTCCATTTTGCCTGCACACCTGTTTGTGTAACTTTAATTAGTTTTGGAAAACAACAAATGTCTGTGCAAAACAATCTGCATTGTTATTCAGACAGTATAGCTCCTGATGTGAGGCAGCTCTAGATGTCCCAGTTATGAGCTTCCTGATTTTCTCTCCAACCTGTGAGAGGAAAATAGGACTGATCTGGGGGGGGTCTCATTAACTTACTTGTTTCAACTAATACAATTCAAACAGACAAGAGTATAAGAAGGAACATATATAGTCCACAATGGTGTATATATAATGCTTAGGCATGAAATAAGTTTGGAAAGCAGGTTCTTCCTAGTTTTTAGGGTTGTGGGGTTTTTTGGTATTTTTTTTCTTTTCTTTTTTGATTGCTAGTAAAATCAACCAGATTGATCAGAATCTTCAAAAGAATTCAAAAGATTTTTCTGTGATGTTTTTGGGCTGGGCAGGTGCAGCTTTCAGAAGCTGCCTGCTTTGGAAAAAAAGATAGCAATCAAGGAAAGTTCCATCAAAATGAATGATTCCAGTTTTTTTCATCTGGAATAGTTCTTCATTAAAGCAAGATTCCACATTTTCGTTATTCTTCTAACTTCCAATAATTTTAGCTTGCAAAGGAAAATGAGATTGAATGAGACATGTCCCTTTTGATAACATTTAAGCTCTTGAAATTGGAGCTTTACATGGCTCTTGCCATTTGTGCTGTGCACACTGTGTTTATATATATTTACATAGTCTGTTTGTGTATATTATGTGGTTTATTTTTTCATCTATGTAGGAAAGGTGGGATGCTTATTTCTCTAAGCACATCACAGCTGAGATAAGAATCCCTACTTTTCTGTAGGGGAAAACCATGCAATACTGTTGGATCATTCCAGCCAGGATAGCAGCAAACTGTGAAATCCTTTGGTATGTTGTTCCTATTCTGTTGTTCTGTATTCTTCATTAACTTGAAGCAATACTAGTTACTGTGTCTATGTGACCAAAATACTTCAGAAAATAAATATATTTATATTTTTCATAGCTTGACATTATCTACAGACTTATCTGCTTATGTTTTTTTACTCATGAACCAATGGCTAATTGTAGAAAGAGTACATACTATCCCATGCAGCCCTCCTTAGCATTAAAATCCTTAGAGAGAAAGGTTCTAATAAATAATTTCCTGTTAGATCAAGGAGAGCAAAGTCTGTTTTGCCGCAAAATCTGGAAAACATTTAAGTGCGATTTACTTTTCTGAATTCAAATTCATTTGAAAACGTAGGATTTTCTGTTTCCTCTACAAGTGACCCAGTGAGTGAGCTAAGACTTTGCATTTTCCCCATAAGTCAATGAGCTCCTTCTCTCACAGGTCCTGGGCTGTTATCCAGCTGGGTCTGCTCTTTCTCTGGGTGACTCAAAGGCCTGTGCATCCACATACTGATCTCCACATCCACAAGCACCGAAGTGGTCACTCATTGCCTGCTGAGGTGAAGTCCGTCCTTTAGCCACTGCTGTACACTGAAGGGAATATGTTGATTGACCAACATAGCCCATGCCATTTTTGCCAGAATGACATCCTTCCATACAGTTGTTGCACCTCCGGAATCTTCATGCAAAGGCATGTAGTTAGTTCTTCCAAAAATCCACTTACCACTCTACATCTCATCTCTTGTTTTTAAGAAAAAACAACTTGGTTAAGAGTATGTAAATAATTCTTTTGTCCCAACTGACTGCATGCATTTGTGAAATTGCTCTGAATTTAGGCTCAGCAGTTACATTACGGATAGAGAAAACCATTGAAAGTTGTGTTGAGATACCTACTTTTAAGTCATTCAAGCTTGCAGGCCTAAAGCTTTTCATGTTACTATCTCATAGAGCTCACCTTGAATTGTTTCTCCAGTCTGGTCTTTCCTGTTGGTCCAGGTATCAAGAGAGCATTAACATAGGCATGAATGTGAGTCTCAAGAACTTCTGTTTCTTTACTGAGTATTGCTTCAACCAATGCATCGTGAATGAAGATGTATTGCTCCTAGGAAAATAAAACCAAACATCCAAGCTCTAATTATTTTCAGATTCCCCTGGACACCTCTGGCTGAAGCTGCCGTTTCTGACGTGGATAGTATTTCTTCATAGCATGCTGCTGTGGGGGAGTTTTCTCAAAAGTGATTCTCTACAGGGAAGGCTGTCCCTCCACAGTAACAGTACACATTTACAAGCACAATTGAACTACACATGTAATGTATATATGATAGAATACCAAATCCTCACCACCTGTGGCATCTCATGTTCACAGAACAGGTAAAAATGCAAGCATAGCTTTGAGTCAAATTTTCAAATCAGCTTGTTATGGGACTGTCCCTGTCTTTCTTGCAATAAAGTGATCACACCCAGTTCCTACTGCTATCCTCTATTTCCTCTCCTATTCTTTGAAACAAGTGCCCATGCTGTTGCTGATTACCTTTTCTTCTATTGAAAGGCACTGGAGAATCTAACCTCCTGTTCTTGAAACCTGAAATAGACTTTCAAATGCCCTGTTGTTGTCCTTATTGTTTTCTTCTGTTCTTTCACTATTCTATATATAATCTTCAGTTTAAAGCAGCTATATAAAATCTTCTGTCTGAAACAGCTTCCCCCCCCCACTTTTTATTGCCTCTTATCAACTGTTTGATCAGGTTCAGTGAAGATCTGAACACCTGACAATGGTGTTTCCTTTAAAAAAATCTATGACAAAACCGCATCCCCTGCCAAGAATGCTACTGTGGGAAGCATGATTTATAGAATCATAGAATCACAGAATGGTTTGGGTTGGAAGGGACCTCAAAGATCATCTAGTTCCAACCCCCGCTGCTGCAGGCAGACTTTCTGTCCCTAATAAACAGACAAGAGCCCACAGATAGGTAATTTCTAGTGCATTGCTCTAAGCGAGCCTAGAAGAATGTCTGTATAAAAACAAGGGAAGTAAAAGGGAAAGTCCAGTGTGGTGACTGGTTGCCAGTCTGTCTGGTGGTGCCAAAATAAGACTGCATCATCCCTCCTCCTGCAAACAGAAACAGTCTATAACAGTCTCTTGCTATATATTTTTTAGTCTTACCTCAGTCTGCACCAAGTAGTTCCTTTGGGTACGTATGTGTTTTAAGAATCCAAATATGTTGACTGTCCCTTCATGCTGAATTTGCTGCAGCATGCTGTCTAACACTATGTATGTGCCTGTCCTTCCAACACCAGCACTACAAAACAAAAAAATAGTCTTGAGCCTAAAGTAAAATAACAATGAAAAGAACTGTTTTGTATACATAGCTTTTTCAACAAACCGGTGTGTAGGGA